ACCAGGGGAAAATGGACAGTGGCATCCCTTAGTCCTGAGACTACCAAGAATGGTCAGGCCTCACTCGGATCAGCAACCTCCAAGAGTACCCATTTACTGAGTGCCTACAAGGTGCCAGGCATGGTGATAATGCTCTACATTCATAATTTCACTGAATCCTCCAGGTAGCCAAGTGGAGTGACATTAGCGTTGAACTGCATTTCATTGATCTGTAACTTCTACTACGTACAAAGACCAGAGGGGAAAAAAAGAAAGCATAATTTAAACAGCACAGCCGGTTCCATTCACTGTGATTGTTGCAGAGTGAGCATGTGTGTGGTAATGACACCTATGACTTTGCTACTCCCCAGGTTAATCTTGGCTCCCTGAGCCTCTCTCCACTGAGTCTGAATGAAGTGTCTTTCATACAGCATGGTCCCGAACATAAGCCAACTCTTTCATTTAATGTTCAAACAAAAAAACCTGGCTGTGCTGCTTAGCTTACTGAAAGACAGTGTGTTGATTTCTGAAATGGCTCTTTGCCAAAGGATTTTCAAACTAGCTGATTTTTGGCTAAATGTGATTTTCACCTTCTGTGCTGACTTCAGAATGTGACTATCTGATAAGGTACGACTCCCACTATATCCTCAATTACATATACAGAAACTGAGCTTCTAGGAAGAAGATTCACTTAAGGTTACGCGACCAGCAAGTGGCAGAGCTAGGATCTAAGCCCAGATCTGTTTTCTCTAACCATTTGTCTTAACCACATCACACAGCCTCCTCTATGCCTGCCAGTCATCCAAACTCCTGAGAAGATGGTATGGGAAAGTAAAAAGAACATTAAGACAGAAGCGAGCAGATTGGGCTTCTAGTTCCACTCCTGCCATTTATCAGCCCTGTGACTCTAGACAGGTCACGTAGACCCCATGGCTGCCTACCTAGGTGGCAGCTTACACAGCCTGGCCCTATTCAGCAGATGCCCCAGGTTCCCCAATTAGTATGATAGGGGTAGAGTAGGGCAGGGAAACTAGAATCAGTGGCTACAAGTTTAATGGCTACAGGGGCCTAGCAATGTAAATGAGTCAATGAGTGAAGGAAGAGAACTGGGTGGAGACTGTGGCTAACCACAGAGTGCCAGGGGCACACAGGCCCAGAGTACTCCCAGGCCTTCCAATTTTTCCAAAAGAAACTAGAACTCTAGATTTTTTAAATGTTGGCAACCAACTCAAAATTGTTTCACATGCCATGAGGATTACATAAAGTATGATGGTGGACCTCATTCAACATGGGCTGTCACTTTGCCACCTGTCAGCTAAATGATCTCAAAGGTCCCTTCCAATATCGAGGAAGACCTAGAAAAGGTACAGATTCCCTCAAGCAATGAGGGATAGGTGTTGACTGCCATCAAAATCAGGATCCCTTTACAAACACAGGGAAACTGAGAGGCATCTTGGCTCCTGGGTTAATAAGAAGGTAGGCATGAGGAGTCCACTCAGTGAACAGTAGGATGGGAAGAGAAGATCCTCCCCAATTCCACGGGAAAGGCCAAGACCGGTCTGTGACCTCCAAAGAGAAAAAACTGGGAGTTCCCACAGGCTGTCAGGCCCACTCACCTGATCATACAAGCTATGGCTTAAAGCACGCTGACCTCACACTTAGGTGCTTAAACCAGGGAGAGCAAATAGGTTTCATTTAAAGCACAAACTTCAGTCAACTAGAAGTGGCTGCCTAAAGTAGTGTGCTGAGGGCTCTGAGTACTGTGTAAATATGTGCTGTGACCAATTAGCCATGAGTGTCAGGGACACGGGAAGAAGAAGTGGCAGAACACATTCTGTGTATTTGCCACCCCTGGCTTAAACTCCCATCGGCATTGAATCAGCCTCAGCTTCCTGCAGATAACCCTGACAGGCAGGAGAAGGCTAAAGCTCCTGCCCATAGAAATCCACTGGAAATAGTGTCTAGAAGCCTGGTAGAGCAAAGCTTACCCTGGATGGTCTTTATTCACACATCCATCAAGTATTTACTGATTTACATCAAGTGTTTACTGCTCTGGGATGGGCAATGGTAAACGGAAGGACTGAAACGCTGTTCCTGTCCTGGAGATGCTCACAGTCTAGTGGAACAAACAAAAAAGTCACAGGTAATTATGTTCAAATATGAAGAGAAGTCATGGGAGCTGGGGGTGACTTAATCTGCTTAAGAAAATTGAACAAACTAGGAGTTGAGTTGGTTCTTGAAGGAAGAGTACTTTTCTTAGCAGAGAATGGTGGAGGGGCGAATATTCTAAGCAAAGAGAACAGCATATACCATGATGGAAAATCAAATGGCCTACCCAAGAAATGGGGAAAATTTTGACAGCCCCGGAGTGTGGAGTTCATGGAGATTAGGTGGCAAAAGGAGTTTATGAAGGGTCTAGAATACCAAGCTAAAGTGTTTGGACTGAATTCTACAGATGGTAGAACCCAATGAAGGTTTTTAAGAGAAGGCATAATCAGATTTGTGGGTTAAACCAATCACACCAGCTGCAATGTGTCTGCTCATGCCGGCAGAGTGAAAAGGTGGAGGCTTCTGCAAAAACCCTGCCAACAAAAGGGCAGATTGAAGATATGTTAAAGAAATTGAAAGGTTTGAAGGCCCTTGGATCTTCAAATGCAAAAGGAATCAGAGGGTAAAGTAGATAGGCAGGTAGGTAGGCAAAGTGCATGGTGGTGTCATTCACTTCCATCAAGCACAGGGAAAAGTGTAGGTTTGGGGCAGAACACAATAGCCAGTCCCACCCACTGGGTTCCAGCGGTAACGACCCTTAGAGAGGGTATCAAATTAAGTATGTTTGTTCTAGGCAGGTAAGTAGAGACTGAAGCACTATTTTTAAGACAGGGCTTCAAGCTCAGGCCCTCCTATCTTCACTTCTTGTCAGGGCCCCAGAACCCTCTATCATCTCCGTGGTCTCCAGACCCTTCTATAGCTCTCCCACCTCCAAAACCTCTCTGCCTCCTCACCTTCAGACCTTCCTAAGGCCCTCCTCACCCCCAGGGCCCTCTATCTTCCTCCCCATCCCCGACCCCTCTATGACCCTTCCCATCTCCGGACGCTTCATCCTCTGACCGCCCCTCACCCTCTACCACCATATATAAGCTTCTTTCTCCCCTCTCACCTTCCCCAGCCCCCTGTGTCACCACCACCTCCTAGTCTCCAGCCCAGAGCCTGAGTCTCTCCTGCCCCCGCCCCGCCACCCGGACTCACCCACCGAGACACCCACTTCACAACAGGGCGGAAGTGCTCCAGGGCTCGCGCAGGGAATGCTGGGACGCGGAGTCCGAACGGCGCCACCCCGGCAATGGAGCGTCTGAGACTACAACTCCCAGAAGGAACAGCGCGAGCGCCGGTGGGCAGCCCCCTCTGTTTGCTGCCTTTCAGAGGTCGTAGCCAATAAATATGTCATCTTCTCACGGCCCCTGGCACTGAACAAATCGGAACGAGTTCAATGCTTGAGGGCGGGGCCTGTTGCGATCCTGACCCTTTCCATAGGCTCAGGGATAACGGCCCTGCCCAGTGGGCGGGCACTCGAGCATAAGGGGGCGGAGCCTATTGAAGGGGCGCGTTGAGACCCTAGACCGTGAGGGGTCAAAGCAGAAACAGTAAGAAATAAAGGGAAACGGTGACTAGAGGTGACCAGCCTGGTGGGCAGAAGAGAATTGGACAGTTGTAGTTTCACTTTCCAGCTTACAGCTAAGCTGCATGACTTTGGATGAATTCTCAACCTCGCTTTCTCCACCTGTAAAATGAGGATAATAATAGCATCTATGTCACCAGGTTTTTGTGAGACTTCCATGAGATAATACACCTAAAATGATTAACTCAGGGCCTGGCTCCTAACAATGCATAGCAAATGTTAGCTATTATTATGTAAATCAGTTAGTACAGAGCTTGGCACTGCGTGGGTGTTGGAAGAATGTTATTAATAATCATTATTACAGAATAATCCTAATATAAATGTAGTTGCTTTGTACCACTGTGAATACTTTGGGGTATGAGCAATCTAATATGGAATTGAGAATGTGGGTTTTGTAGTTAGATGGATCCAAATCCCAACCCAACTATTTCCTAGCTGTGTCGCTTTGAAAACAAATTACTTTATACTCTGTTGTCTTTGGATTTTTCATCCGTAAAATGCAGGTAATATAATAGAACCTACAAAACAGGGTGTTTTGATGATTAAATGAGATGATGTAGATAAAGCATGGTCTCTGGAGTGAAGCTGCTTGTGTCTGAAACTTCTTACTTTCAAATGCTGGATGCAGGCGTTGCCACTCACTAGTTGTGAAAACTTGGGCAAATTACTTAACCTTTCTATATCTCAGTTTCCTCATCTGTAAGATAGGAATAATAATAATGACATCTTCCTGACAGGCTTGTTGAGAGGAATAAATGGGAGAAAGTATGTAAAGAGCTCAGAACACGTCTGACACACAGAAAGTGTTTAAAAATCATTAGCTATTATTATTAGTTTTATCAATGGTTATGACACTTCGGTTAATTGACAGTACCTAGCATATGGTAAGGGCTCAATACATGTTGTTCAGTGTTAAAATGGGGGAATTCTATATTTTAGTTTTAATAACCTAGTTCAAGTTCCTTCTCCTCTGTGAAACATGTTCCAATTTATTTATAGTAATAACTCATGTGATTTTACTCAATAAACAAAATAGCAGCCTATAAACAGTCCTCACTGAAGTCTCACAACAGCCCTATGAGGGTGATATCATTAGCCCCAATTTACAAAGAGGGAATGGGAGCTTAGAGAAATGATTGCACAGCCAGTAGGTGCCAGGGCTGGGATTTGAACCCCTGGGCATGTGACTCCCAAGGTCCCACACTGTATGAGGAAGAGACCATATGTGGAAAAGGCAGAAGGTTTGAGGGGGGAGAAACAGTGTGGCAGTGTGGGGTGCTGGGGATGTGGCTGGAGACATTTGATAGAGTGTCAGGATCTGAAGCTGGAGGAGCAGCTTTGCAGGTCAGGTGAGGACATCCACTTCAGCATCATCTGCGCTGCAGAGGAAGAAGGGAGGTGTGTGCACAGAGAGAGGACACCATTAGGACACAAGAGGGCGCACCTCACCCTAATCTAGCCTGGAATTATTCTATGGTTTCCCTGAACCTTTGTCTAAGGCTGATATTTTACAGAAGAGGAAAACTAAGGAAGGCCCCAAGAGGCCAAGTGCTCACTCCAGTGTCATATGGAATAAGCAACAGAAGCTGAACCAGATCCGAGTTCTCTCTGGCTCAGCATCCATCAAAGCCCCAGAGTTTTGGTTTACAAATCCAAATGGCCACAGTTGTTTATCAAGACCCTCTCTGAGCTGTGCCAACAGCAGCCTCTAACGAAGCAGAGATGAAGGCCCTGGTCTCTGCCCCCAGGGCCTGATCTCTAAACTTTCCTGATAGAGCACTCCTGTGAGTAAAACATTTTGAGCACACACTGGCAACATATGTGTATTTATTCACTTATAAATGATGTACATGTAATAGCTAACTTTTCTTGAACACTTACAATGCATTGTTAGGTCCTTCTCTCAGTGCTTTATACATATTAACTCATTTAATCCTTATAAAACCCTTTGAGGGAGGGTCTAATTCTCCCCTATATCACAGAAAAGGAAACTGAGATACAGAGAGGTTAAGTAACAGGCCAAAGCCATATGGCTAAAAAACAAACAGTCTAGCTTCATAATAAGGTGAGATTTAAAAAAAATAGAAATAGAAATTATAACATTTTCTTCCCAAACCATAGTGTGATCATCCCCAGACCTGTGATCAGTCCTCTGAGAAGCAGAGGTACAGGAAGTTGTGGGAACCCAGAGGCAACAGTTTACCCAGGTTGGAAGGTCAGGGAAGGCGTCTGAAGTAGATGATGGCTGAGCTGTGTCTTAAAGAATACTTAGGAGTTCCCTAGGAAACAGGTGTTTTTTGGTGCTGGAACAGCATGTGCAAAGGCCCTGAGGCAGGAGTGCATGGTGTTCTGGGAGCTACAGGTAGTCTAGCATTGCCACAGCACAGAGTGACAAGGGGTCTGTTCCTCCTCCCAGTGTTGCTGTGAGTCTCAGAAGGAGATAGATGTGAACAGGGCTTCATGTGTTTATTGAGGGGAGAGGCAATCAGTCTGCTGCCTCCTGGGCAGCATCCCAGCTTTTAAGTCCTCAGCTGCCAATTCCTCTATAACCCAGATGGCAAAAGGGTCCTGTTTGCCTCTTGAAGATCAAGTTGAACTTGGCCTGGACCCATTCCACAGCTTAGGACTTCCCAGAGTCCTCCCTCCTTCTCCATATGCTCCCTGAATTCCCAACCTTATTTCCTCTAGGCTACAGTTTCTGTGATGTGAAAGGGTGTGGAATTCATACCCAGGGACTGGGGCGTAGATTTCTCACACAGTGATTAGGATATACAGAAGTAAACATTTATTTATTTCTCCAAGAAAGAAAAAGAGAGAGAGAATGCAAAAGAGAGAGAGAGAGGAAGGGAGTGGCCACTGCACATGAGTAGAAACGCCAGGCAGCAGCTGAGGGAAAGTTGCTTGGAGTTTTAAAGGGTAAAAATGGTTTTTTTCTCTGCTTAGGCAGACTGATAACGGAAGCGGTGGCAACGTTGTTGCAGGTGTTCTTTATTTTTCTCTTTTCTCTGTGAGGCCAGCTTTATCAGAGTCCTTGGAATCTGGTTTTTAGTAGGAACTGAAGCAGAGAGCTGGAGCAGGGAGTTCCTACCTCTACTGTCTGCTTACGGCTCTTCAAGGCTGAGAAAACGTCACTCTTAGAGATAACCAGTTAGGCGATAGGTGCTTTAATTAAACAAAACAAAGGGAAGTGCTGTGAATTTCCTCTTCAAAGAGGTAAGTATGTGCTGTAAGTTTATTTCCCTTACTTTCTGTTTGATAGTTTATTTCCCTCTGTTAGATAGGTTATTAGTAAGGCCGCCTTTCATGACGCTACGCTCTTCACCTTCTGCCTCATGTGGGTTTCCACCAAAAAAAAAAAAGTTCAATCAAGCCAAGCATTTCACGGATTTAGCAAATTTATTGAAGATTTGGAGATCTTGAAATCACATCACATACCACATGGCCACCTGCTATCTCCCAAATTTTCTCATTCCTCCTCTCTAGTCTTTCCGAAGCCTGTGTTCCCAGCATTTGATACTCCCTGCACATGCAGCACCCCCACCTCCTATGGGGAAGCAGAGTTCAGCCTCACTGAACATACCCACCACCTCTCTGCCAGGTTGGCTTGCTGTTCTTACCCCACCCTCCAACACGCATCTGCCCTAACCCAATCTGCCTTAACCCAGCCTGCTCCAGCCTGCTCCTCAGCCTTGCCCAGAAGTCACCCTTTTTTTCGTCTTCCTTGGGCCACATGCAATAGTCTCCTCGGCGGAGCAGCCGGGCCAGTCTATGGTAGCGGGGAAGCTGGTGGCGGGAGACAGGCTCCAGGAAGACCAGCAGCAGCACCCAGCACCTGGGGTTGTGGAGCAGCCAACAGGAGGGAGGTGGCCAGGCGGAGCTCCAGGCGGCAGCGGGGGGTGTTCAGAGCCTAGCTACTGAGCACACAGAGTGTGACCCAGCTGCCCGCCATGCTGTCTGCCACATTGTCGGCCACATCCTTGCCTGGCTCAAAATCCCGCTCAGGGAAGCAGATGCGCAGCCCCCAGCCAGCCGGAGGGCAGCCCTCCAGAGTGGGCAGCAGCTCCTGCACCACCCAGCCCTGGTCTTGCCTGCAGTGGGACACGAACACATCATAAGAGAAATTCTTGCCTTCATCCCTCTAACCCCTCAGACCCTGGAGCCAAGCCTTGAACAAGGCCTGGAGATAGAGGATCCAGGAGCTTCTGGCTTCTCATAAGAGAGGCAAGGAGACCAGCAGAAGCAGCAGGGCAGAGCTTCCCATAAAGGGTCCCAGCCCCAGAGTTTTGGAGCAGTGGCTCTGGAGAAAGGGGAAAAGGGGATTCCTGGGGCAGCCCCCAGCTTCTGGCTGGCACAGCTGCTGTGTTACTATGTGCTTGTATGTTCTGGGGGACCACTCCAACCAGGGCCCCACCCAGGCATTGGCACACTGGCAGGCCAAGGACGAAGTCAGAATATACATGTACTGGGGCATCCGAGGACTGTGGTCCTGGAGGCTGTCGTCCAGCACGAGGCCCTTCTCCCAGTCTAGCACTAAGACCTGGAGACTGCTCAGGCCCTGGAAGGCAGCCACAGACAGCGTCTCCAGCCCTGTCTGCCTCAGCACCAGCACCTGCAGCCTCGGCAGCTCACCACCAGCTCCTCAAGCCGCACTGGGCGGGGCCAGGCTCGGGACTGCAGTGCCTGCAGCTTCAGCTCCAGGAGCTCGGGCAGCCCCGTGATGCAGCAGGGCCTGGAGCTGTGCCCATCTCCCTGTACCCTCAGGGACTTGAGCCTGGGGAGCTGCCACAAGAAAAAACTGGAGGTGTCCTGGGAGCAGAGAGCCTCTAAGCTACTGGCAAGCAGGGAGAGTTCACGAAGGGCAGGGAAGATCTTGGAGACATTCTGGGTCTCCAGCTGCAGTCCCCAGCCTTTTAAAGTCAGGGTCTGCAAGAATGGAAGGACATTAGGGGACAGATTCCAATGCTTCATGCCTGAGACTGCGTGAAGCTCCAAGCTAGTCAGCCTCGGTGCAGGGACAACCCTACCCCAGAAGGGTCAGAGGGGAACTGCAGTCTCAAGCTGTGCAGACTTTCCGGGCCCCGGAAGTCCCAGGCTGGGCTCAGCACCATGCGGGTGTCTAGTAGGCTTAGGGTGTTCAGTGCAGGCAGAGGAGCTAACCAGCCCTCACCCAGGCTTTCCAGTGGATTGTTGCCCAAATTCAAGGTCTCTAGCCTCTGTAGACCCTAAAATACCTGGCTTTCCAGGCAAACCAACTGGTTTCCCTGAAGTACCAGCTCTCGCAGGTGGGGCAAACAGGAGAAGGCAGCGGGGGGCAGGGTATGCAGCCCATTCTTAGACAGATCCAAGGCCAGCAGTCCTGAGACAGTCCTTGTCTCATTCCTGCACAGCGTGGCACTCTGCAACTGGTTGTTGGTGAGGTTCAGTTTCTGAAGCCTGGGCGTGGCAGCCAGGAAACCTGGTGGTAGCTCAATCAGGCCACTGCTCCAAAGACTCAAGCTCTTCAGGCTGTGGCAGGAAGCCAAGGCTTCTAGAGATATGTTCCCTATCCGATTAATTCCCAAATTCAGCTCCTGCAGCTCAAAGTGGGCAACTGTCCAGGCAGGCAGCTCAGCTGTATCAGTGTATATCATAGACAGGCCATCCAACCTCTGCAGCCCCAGTCCCACTACTGCAGCTGCCTTCATCTTTGTGTGGTCCAGATTCAAAGTCCCTAGCCGGAGACCCTGGAGGGCCCCAGGCCTGGCCATCATCAGCTTACCACTGAATGACAGATCCAACATGTCCAGAGTCCAGGCATTCCCAGAGAGGGTGCCACGCACCAGATCAGGGAAGATGTCAGCCAGCACCCGTATATCCTGAAGGCAACTGCGCTTGACAGACAACTGTTATAGACTGGGAGGCAACCAGACACCCAAGTTCCCGTCCAGGCAGGGGCCCAGGAAAGCAAGGTACTGGAGGGATCTTAGGTCAACAAGGGCATCAGGAGGTAGGAGGATAAATCCTCCTTTGAGGGGAGCCATGAAGGAGAGATGCCGCAGCTTCCCCAAGCCCCGGAGAGCTCCTGGCAGGATCTGGGTGAGATTCAGATTCAGCCCCAGGACTTTGAGCCCAAGGAAGTTGGAGAAGGCATCCTGGGGCAGAACAGAAGTGGAACCAGCAAGACAGAGCCCCTCCACACTCTGTGGCACTGCTTCCAAGGTCTGTGTCAGGTTGGTCACCAAGTTGCATGCAGCAAGAAGGGGCAAGCTGGAGTCCAACGGGCAGATCGGGAAGAAGCGGGAAAGCAGAGGCAGCCAGGAGCCCTCGGTCAGTAGGCAGTTAGAGACGGTCCAGCCTGTGGTCAGAGGAAGGGACAGGAGCAGACCAGGCAGCAGCAAGTGCCTGCCCATCTCGGCACCAAGCCTAGTCCACAGAGAAGCAGAATCAGAATCCCACTCTGTCCTCCTGCCTTTTCCAGACTCTACCCTCCCATCCACACACACACACACACACACACACACGCACAATACTCACAACAGTGACAGACTATGCAGCCCACAGTGTGCCCAGGAGGTCTGGAAGCACAGTCAGAGGGCCACAGTGCTTCCAAAGTGTAGACTGCTGGGGAATTGGGTGGAGGAGTAGGACCAGAATACTTGTAGCTGAGGCTCCGAGGGTCAGGGAGAGGAAGAAGTGTGCCAGCGGCGAGATGGGGCCCAGGTTTCACTTCTCTGTTGGAGGCAGCAAGTGGTGCTCCTGAGCATAACATTTGGGGCCACAGATCCAAAATCCCATTTCGCCATTATTCTGAGCAGAGCACTTCGCCTCCCTGAGCTTCAGCTTCCTCGTCTGTAAAATAAGCATACTAATACCCGGGTCATACGATTGCCGCTGGTGACATGGGTGTCAGAACATGGTTTCTCTGCTCATCATCCCCTTTAGTGCTCGCTCTCCTTGCTTCTAATAAGAAGGAGGAGTAAATCGGGATTTTAAAAAAGCAGATGTTTTGTAACCAAAGTAATACATTGAAATGTTGCTGTCACAGACATCTTACAATGTTCCGCATAGAGGATTCCAAAAAGCCCAAACTTCACTTGAGGCTCCATCACTGCCTTTTTAGGCTGGGGCAAGGAAGGACGGTCTCCATGGCTTTGACCTTGACTCTCTATATCAGGATGGAGCCAAGATTCAAGGGAGAGCCAAACAAGAAAAGGAAAGAAACTAAGGAACTTCATAATTCTCTCAAACAATGCAGTACCCTGTTCAATACAAGTCAATATCTGTTCATGGCTTTAAAAAATAATAAACTCAGAGAGAAGAAAACTTCCTTGACTTATAAAAGGGTATCTCCCCTAGATCTACAACAAATACAATTCTAAATGACAAACCATTTGTTGCATTCAATTTAAAGCCAGGAATGAGACAATTAAAATTACTTCTGCTCAACTTTATAATGGAGGCCTCAGCTGGGAGAATAAGAAAGAAAAAGAATAGAAATTAAAATGATAAAATTATAAGTATTTTAAAGGAAGAAACACGAGGGTCTCCATTTACAAAAGGCTATGATTGTCTACATAGGAAATTGAAGAATTTCTAGAGACAAACTATAAAAACTAAAGCATGTTTAGCAAAGATGGGGAATATAAGACACTTTTTTACTTTCTAACATGCCAGTGAATTATTTAGGGTCTCACCAGGAAATAGCACATTCAAATTAAGGTTCTTCTTAGAGGTTTATACGCAAAGAAACTAATCACAGAGCTGTTAGCGGGGCTTAGGGTAGTTCAGGAACCCAGGACTAGCAGGCATAGAAGCTGTCACCTCTGAACTGAAGAGAGAAGGACAGGGAGACGTTACCAGAACCTGGAAGGAGAAGGAATTTCATAGGATCTGCTGCCTTGAGAGGAGCAATGGCAGTTGGTCAAGTCACAAAACCAACCTGAGGGGACCTCACAGGAAGGAAATCAGGAGTGTAAATGTCCCACCTCTCTCCCCTCCCTCCCTCTGATCCCTTGCCAGGATTCTCCACTGGGCCCAGAATCAGAGACAGAAAAAAATCCTTAATGTAGTCCATTCGGGTCAGCTTCCCTGGCCAAAGAAGAAAGTGGGAAAGGACAGTTGGATAGGGAGGGACAAACAAAGAAATGCAGCATGACCATCAGCAATCAACAAAGTAGAAAACGTATAATACTTTGAAAACAAATTCTTTACTAAGAAGACACAAGAATATATATAAATGGAACAGAATAGTCTAGAAACAGACCTAACCATATCTAGTCACCTGATTTATAAAAAGGTACCTGGTTAATTCCATTTATCTTCAAAAGATAACTCAAGACGTATCATAACCCTAACTGTGAAAAATAAAATAATAAATAATTGAAGTGAAAACATAGAAGAATATCTTCATGCTCTTAAGATAAGCAAAATTTTCCTAAATAGGCCATAAAAAGAACCAGCCATAAAAAGTTTCAGAAATGGGACTTCATTAAAATTAAGAAATTGTGTTCATTACTTTTGTGTTTTACTGCGAAAGCAAAAAGATAAGCCACATGGGAGAGGTATTTGTAATACATACGTTCAACAGAGGACTAATAGTTGTGGAACATAACACATATAATTTTGAATAACTCATGAGTCAAAGAAGGAATTATAATAAAATTAGAAAATATTTTAATTGAACAATAACAAAAATACTGACAAAGCAAAACTTGTAGGATAAAGCTAAAGCAGTGTCCGTGGGGAAATGTACAGCCATAAATGTCTGTGTTAGAAACAAACAGCAAAAGTTGAAAATTAATTAATTTTATAACCTCAAAAAGTTATAAAAGGAACAGTTAAAAAATATCGATAAAAAGGATTCCACTTTCCACTCCCCCCATGATGCAGTAACTGGTCCCAGACTAGTCCTCTCGCCATGAACAACCATGAAACTGGACCGAATATATGAAACAACTATTTTCAGATATTAGGACATTGTCTTAGTCTGTTTGTGCTACTATAACAGAATACCACAGACTGGGAAGTTATTTATTTCTCATAGTGTTGTGGCTGGAAGTGTAAGGTCAAGGCGCTGGCAGATTCAGTCATCTGATGAGGGCTGCTCTCTGCTTCCAAGATGGCGCCTTGTTGCTGCACCCTCCAGAGGGAAGGAACACCGTGTCCTCACGTGGCAGAGGGCAAGCTAGCCAAAAGCTGTGTGAAATTTCTTTTATAAAATCCTTAATCCCATTTGTGAAGGAGAAGGCCTTGTGACCTGACCACCTCCTAAATATCCCCCACCTCTTGATACTACCACATTGGAACCACTTGGATTTTGGAGGGGACACATTGAAATCATAGCGCTGGCGGTATAAGATGGTGACTCCCGAGAGATGGGAAATGCAGGAGGCAGGTGCCACAGTTGCCCTGACTTTCTACCTGTAGGCATTTACTGTGCCCCAGCACAGAGGCGGAGGGAACTGGAGCAGAGCACAGCAGTCTTACTGAGCTGAGAAAACAGAAGGTCAAACAACTACAGTTTGTGTGGTACAGAGTACAGGAGGGGAGAGAGACACACAAACAAAACTCCAGAAATTTGCTTGGAGTCCCCTTGGGTTTCTGTCTGAACACTGAGCTGAGTATGTTTAGAATGAAACTCCACAGGCGTGGACAAAGAATTCCACTCATTTCCAGAGTTCTCACAGGGTTGAGAGAGGCTTAAGTCTGACTAGCCAGGTATGAGGGGCCTTGTTGAATACACAGAGCATTCAGTAGACAACCGTCAGGTCACATTTATTAACATGGTTAAACATGTGTAGTGCATGGGCTTAAAAGGAAGTCTTATAATTATCAATGAGGTGATCCACAAATAGCTGCCTGCCCAAACAAACACACTTTGATATTTTTTATAGGAAAACAACAAAACCCAGTTTGTCAATAATGTAACATTCACAATGTCCAGCATCTAAAAAAATAACACATGAAAAAGCAGGAAAATTAGACCTAGAACCAAGAAAAAAATCAATTAATATAAACATGCCCAGAAATGAAAGATGATGAAGTTAGCAGACAAAGATATTAAATGAGCTAGTATAAATATACTCATTATGGGTATGTTATATTCATTATTGCGTTTCATCAATTCTAAGATGTTCATTTCTTCATATTTTTAACACCTTTAAAATAGGGCTGCATCCTACAATTGATAGCACCTTGCTACTGCTGGTAACATGCAACATTCATGATTCAAAGATTTAAAGAAAAACGTAAGCATAATGAAGAGAGAGAAGATATTTTTTAAAACTAAATGAAACTTCTAGAACTGAAAACTTCAATATCTGAAATTAAAATTTCACTGGATAGGATAATAGCAGATCACACACTACAAAAGAAATTAGTGAACTTGACCTAGAAATACAGACTGTCCAAAGTGAAATACAGAAATATAAAGGCAGGGAAAAAATAAGCAAACCTCAGTGACCTGTAGGACCACATCAAACAGTCTAACGTGTGTAATTAGAGTCCCACAGTGGAGCGACGGAGGAGTATGAAAAAGTAAGAGCCAGAATTTTTCCAAATTTAATGAAAACCATAAACCCACAGAGCCAAGAATTTCAAGAAACCCTAAGGAGGATAAACACCATAAGGAATGTTATAATTTAAATGTTGAAAATAATTGAAAAAGGGAAAATCTTAAGAGCAGCTAGAGGAAAATTACCCATTACATAAACAGGGGAAAAAAAGGCAAGAATTTTTTCCACAGTCATTATGCTGGTAGAACTATCAATGCCTCGGATCCCTCAAAAATGAAGATTTTGGTTAACTTACTGGGTAGAAAGAATAAGCAAACAAACAACAACAACAGTTGAGATACTGGATTAAGCCAAATGGGACATGGAAGGGTTACTGGAGAACAGAAGTAAAATACATCATCAGAAAAAAGGACTTAGCATATATTTGTATTTTCTTCCTTGTGATGTCATGGGTATGTTATATTCACTATTGCGTTTCTTCAATTCTAAGATGTTCATTTCTTCATATTTTTAACACCTTTAAAATAGGGCTGCATCCTACAATTGATAGCACCTTGCTACTGCTGGTAACATGCAACATTCGTGATATAATTACTATCGCCTGCGCATTGTCTAGTTGGTCATAGCCATTTGTATTATTATTACCTCAGCTGAGCTATGTACATTGTTGGTACTACCCATTTTAGTTTAATTGTCCTTTAAAATGTCTTGAAAAATATTATGTTATAATTCCACATTGAAATAAAAAGTTATTGTCTGTGCAAAATGGCACAGAAAGACAGCAGTGGGGCAAATATTCTTTGTTGAAGAAATAATGTGGGAGGAATTCAGAGTATAACTATGAATATGAAGAAGTTTGAGGAATACCATAATCAATATATTTTTCTTATATTTTA